GATAGGGTGAATTTCTGTCAATCAGTGCTTTGTTGGTTCAGGCCTAATGATTTTCCTATGTTCATTTCTAATTTTTTTTTCCTGAATTTTACGGATTTATTCCGAAAATCAGGCAGTAGTCTCAAGTAGAGTTTGGATTTCTTGGTCAAACAAGAAGACAGATAATCAGAATTTTGAAAAGGGAATGAAAGGAGTCCTAACAGTAACCTAAGGCCTTTAAAAAATATACAAAGAAATAACGATAGTTTTCCTTGTTACTTTTACTGCCTTAAATTGTTACTAACTGGTAAATCATAGTTGGATCAATAGTTAAGAATTGAACCAAAAAGCTGATTTGGGGGGGCAACATACAAACTTTACCATAGATTTTGTATAATGAGTTTAATTATTTTGGAGCTTTTATGCTAAGTCACACAGAATGTAAATTGTTTGCCATTAAAATTCTTGGGTGTCTCTTACAGTGAAGCATTGAATGCCTTAGAAAACAAATGAGCTTTCAGCTCACTGCAAAATCTCTGCCAATTCCCCATGGGCTGAAAGTAGAAATAGCATTCTTGAATATTATCTAGTCAGCATAATAAAATGGCTCCACTTCAGTGTGTGTGATGTTGATGTCTGGACTCGGTCACAGGCTCTGAGCAGGGGTTATTTGAGAAAACTTGGGGCCTTTTTGAAGAATGATATATTTAGCCTCTTAGAAATTGAGAATAATCACTTCAAGTGGGATGTGTTGTGGAGTGATATTATCATTCTTTTAAAAAAGAAACTACTTTGGTTTTTCTGTCTGAAAGCTTTTGAGCAAAGTCTTTTTTGTTGGTGTTTAGAAGACACTCTTGTATTTAAAGTTGTATAAAATTATGTAAATCAAAATTATGTAGCCCTAGGGTAGCAATGTGCTAGGTGATTGATGAATTTACTTGTGGTTCAGGCTGTAAGCATCCCTGCTAGAGCAAAGGGTGCCAATCTGCAATAAAATTAACAATGACACATTGTACTCTTTAAAGGGAATCCTTTTTCTTTTCTCTTCTTTTTTTTTTTAGTAGTCTTTCTCTTCGATCATTTTATGGTTAATTCAGCTGGAAAGATGTGGTATTTCTAAAAAGTGAAAATTCCCATTATACTACTCGTAAAAAATAGTACTGTTTTCTTTAATCCATTACATTGGTTATTTTATAACTATGTTTTTCCATTCCAACTACATATTATCTGTGGAAATATTCTTATTTTTTTTATACCTTTTATGTCATAAGGCTTTCTAAAATTTGACATCTATAAAAATACGATGAAGCAGTATTATTTTAGGTGGCTTAACAACCAGTAGAGAAATAGCTTATATTTCTGAATACTGTCTAACAAGGGGTTGCCAGAAAATTCACCTGTGAGAGATTTTAAACATTCTGCTCTTATTTAAATTTATTGTAATACCTCTCACATACACAGACCACCCCCTTCCTGAATAGGGTATGACTCCTGTTTATTTTTCAAAACCAGTGTCACATTCTTTTTGTATTTAGAATTCCATATACCTTGTGCAATAATTTTAAATAATTGAAGTATCATAAAACCTAGATGGTAAGTCACTGATATAACGTAAGCCTGTTGCCATCGAGTCAGTTCTAACTCATGGCAACCCTGTATGTGTAGAGTAGAACTGCTTTATACGATTTTCAAGGCTGTGAGCTTTTGCAAACAGATCACCACGTTTTTCTTCCGAGGTGCCCTGGGTGTGTTCAAACCTTTAACCTTTTCATTAGTAGTCAAGTGCTTAACAATTTGGCCCACCCAGGGACTCCTACTAGGAGAGATTTTTGCTTATACATGAGGGTTCTAGAAGTGTAGCTCATTTTATACGATTTCCTGCCCAAAATTTTAGGCAGTCAGCTTTAACCCTTTGGAGTAAGTGACCAGCGATAACTGTCTAGTTATATGTGATATACCTATTCCTTGGAAGTACACTACACAAATAGTTTTACATTTGATTTTTAGATGTCCTTTTTGGATAAGTTGTTTTCTTTGGAG